TTCTCTGCATAGTCCAAGGCAGTCGAACCGCCGCTTGACCGATGGGAAGCGTCCAGGCCAGCCTCCTTACCAGCCACTTCACAGCTTCTAGTTTGCCATAATTTGCTGCGAATGAAGGGCCGTTTTCCCTGAGTCTGCTTCCGGTTTCAGGTCACACTTGATTTTCTGGAGGTTCTTCAGTAACGAGATGCCCCCACTTGGCAGCAAACTGGGCAACGCGAATACCTGATTGAACATATCTTGTTAAAGGCAGGAGAAAGAGCTGCATAGATTGTGCCATTACAGGGATAGATTATATAACTGGTACCTAGCACTTGGTTCCATGGTAATATGTTCCTGAGAAACATCTCTTGCAAGCTGATCTCTGGTCAGTCTGTGAATGCCCTTTCTCTTCGAATGTGGCAATAGAGAAATTGGCATTATCTCACAGCTACCCATTTCTGTCAAAGTAACAACCTTGTGACTACTTTAATCGAAAACCTGATATAGGTTGTGCACAATGAAACCTAGATAATCGCACATTGGACTAAGACTGTTTTGCTTACTGGGCATACTCTGAAGGCAAATCCCCCCCCCCGCCCCCCCACAAAAAAAAGTCTTCTACAACTAGGATTTACATTGGAGGAAACCCGACCCTGGAAAACAATCGGTTTTCTGGTGATTAGCATCAGGTTGGGAATCACAGATTGTTTTATATCACAGGCCATCCCCTTTATGTTAGAAACATACTTCTTTCTCTCTGTAAAATATGAGAATGATCTAATGAACCTCAAACTTCATATAGGGAAAGGAGGGATTGCTGAATGAGACGTGAGATTTTGTCATTATTTTTTGTCCTCAACATAATTATCCTACTTTTAGAATTTCTGCTACATAGTATCTCTATGCAGTCCAAGAAAGTCTCATTTTGAAATATATCATAGTTCATCACCTTCCAAGACTGACTTGCAGCTATAGTAGCACCTACGAAAATACGGTTGTGTTCAGCGTCGTTTAACATTGACCTCAGTGATAAAGATCGGAGTTAACGTTGGTATGAACAGCATCGACAAAGTGTTCCCACTGTCTGTATGGCTATGGACCCATCACTTATTGTCTTCTAAGCAGTAAAATGGACAGTCAGGAATTTTCATACAGGATTCTGAATTCCGCACAGGCTCAAAAATACCCTTTATCGTTTTTATTCTCTTTGCACTTGCAGACACTAAACAAGCGGACCGATAACTACAATTGCCTTGTTCACTAAGTATTAATTATGTGTACTTGCAATGTATGGTTATCTACTACAATCTTGAGCATTAAAAAGCATTTCTTTCTTTATCTACATACTGAATAACATCAAATTTCACCAATGTTCATCATACCCGCTCTAAAATGGGAAGATTGTCATACGGTGAAGATAATAAAACGAGTTATAGTCCTACTCTTTAATTTACTTACATTCTCCTTTCCATAGAAGCGCTTGCAAACATCATGGTGGTATTAGTAGGAATGAAACTCTAAGTACTGTTCTCCTTTTCGTTTCGCCGCTTGAACTCCTAGTACAATACAATTTAAACTGGTGCTTTTATGTCAATAATCTAGATGAATGCGCCGTTTCCTGCTTCAGTACATAGTTTTTTTCAGATTTATTCTTTTTCCAGAAAACCAAATTCTATTCTATTACTTTAAGAAGGCTAAGATCTGGGAGAACCAGCGGTCTTTTCCTTACCCAATTTTCTTTTGCACACATCTTCAATGTCGACGCCCTCGCGTACCAGGTTTATAAGTTCCTCGAGGTCGCCAGACTCCAGGGCTCTCACTGTGGTCACCTGCAGTTGAAGGGGCCATCATAGAGTGGGAACTGGTTCATGCTTTTAAGTGCAATAACAGCATGAACGACCAGATTACATCGTACTTTTTAATATCGAATCAGATTCGGGTAAAATATTGGATATCACCCACTTTGTTTCACCATTATGTTAAGCATAACGTATTGAATCATAAAGTTCTTGAGGAGAGGAGTAAAAAAAAAAAAAAAAAAGAGTAAAAAAAAAGGAGAGAGAAAAAAGGGAATTCTGCAGAACTGGCAACTTACTTCTTCAAGACATGATATTATATTCGCATTTCTTTTCCGTCTGGCCAGTGCCAGGACAGAGGCGACACCTCTGCCGGGAGGAAGAGCAGCATCAAGTTCAACCTCTTCGATTAGCCATCTGACAGCCGGCTCGTGAGAGTACTTGACAGCAAAATGCAGAGCTGAATATCCTTGGCTCGTGACTGAGCGCATGTTATACATCTTATTCTGGAGGATCTTCAGGATTTCAACATTTCCTCCACATGCAGCGTAGTGGACAGACCGAAAACCTGAGCATATCAGTTTAGTGTTACACGAATGGATGGAGGATGTCCTATATTGTTTATCTCAGTTCATTTAGTCGAGACATGGTTTAGGAAGGGGATGATAACATTACCTTTATCATTTTCTCTGGCACACAAGTCATCCAAATCAAATTCTTCT